TCCTTTCAGATCGTTATCCCACAATAATGTAGTCTAATCTAACAGTCTTGTTGCTCTTCTTTCTATTTCGAAGAGAAAATAAAAAATTACAACTAAATGATTCGGCTTCACGGGCTTCACCAGCCACCGGAAAGGGAGACTTGGTTTGACTAGAAACCAACAAAGGAAACTAAATTAAGCCAAAATTGTTTGGATCCTCAATTTAACCAGACATAAAAAAAGACCCAGTTGACCACTGTCTTTTTTTTTCGAGTCAAGCGGTGATTCAGGAGGAGGAATTGAAGTTTCAGAACAACTACATTGAACATGTGTTGTTACACTGACGAGAAAGAAACAACATCTACACATTATTTGCTAGGAGAAGAACAAAGTAAACACTCACCTAAAGCAGACATTACTCTGTCAAAGAAAATGTTGGACCAAAACTAGAACCCTAAAAGATACTCCCTCCGGTTTTTAATAAACTTCACACTTTCCTTTTTGGGACGGTCTAAAATAAACTTCACACTTCCTTATTTCCTTTTTTGGCAAAGAAATCTACATCAAAACAGTGCCAAACAGTGTCTCTACAGTGCCAAACAGTGTCAAACAGTACCTCAACAGTGTACTCTACAGTAAAGTCAAATTTCTTTCCTTATTTTGTGTGAAGTCAAACTGTAAAGATTAAAAAAAAACGGAGGTAGTAGAAATTAAGAGAGAGAGACAACATAGCAAAACTTTTGATTACTTATTATCTAGAGAACATGGCAATCATCAAAACTCTTGTCAGAGAAGAGAAAAGATTAGATCGTCCAGGAGCTTGCTGCCTAAGATTTCCGTAGCTAGGGCCAGCTCATGTTCCGTAGTGTCTCCACAGTCTACTTTATTAGCTTTAGAACTCTATTTATACTAAGGAATACTACGTATTTCCTTTGTTACATTAAACATTGCCAGTTTTTATTTAGTTGTCCCCATGAGTTTTGCCATTCTTTTCTAAAGTCAATAAACTGATATTGTACCTCTTTTCTCTATAAACTTCAACTTTACATATCTAAATTCTTATTACACAGGTAAGTCAAGTTTGATCAACTCTTATTAACGGAGTGAGTTACATTTATGGACAAAATTATTATTAGTTTTAGAAATTTTAAAGTGACAATTTAGTTACTTTAATTTTAGGATGTCACTACATGATAAGTTTAATGTCATTGCAAGTAAAACCACCGGTGTTACTAGCAATGACCGTTGACACTGACCAATGTGTCACGGCACCGTCGATAGAAAAATCTCTTTAGAAAATATTCAAGGCGACGATTGTTAGTAGTGACCAGGAGTGGAGGATAGTGGAGATATATTAAACAAACTTGAAATTTCGAAGGTGTTCATCCAATTTAAAAAGAACTAATCATATTTTTATCTATCACATAGTCTAGACTTTAGAAACCACATTTGTGTCATTCTTCTTGAGAAAATGGTCAAAATGGTAGATGCAGTTGTATCGACAGGAGTAAGCAGTAATTCATCTTACATTTGAAATTTTAAAGTACATGAACTTGTATTTTTATAGTCAATCAAGTACATTTTCTCAATCAGAACGTTAAAATAGCTGACCTAGCCAAGCTATCTATTTGTATTATACAGTTACAGTTCAAGTTATCAAATAAATTAATCTATAAATTCTATTTTTACCGTGCATCTAAAATTACCATTTTTAAATGTATATTTCTCTCATTTGTTCTCCCTGCTATCCCGTCAGCTTCTTCTTTTTGCTATATTTTATTTTCTGTCTCTTACTATAGTAAAGATGGACCGATAGCAAACAAAAGAAGAAGCCGGTGGGATAGCAGAGAGAGAAGACGAAAGAGAAGGAGAGCAACACGTGCAGAGTTAGAGTGGGCCAACCTAGGCTCTGGCCCACCTCAAATTAAAAAAAAAGCTTTAATTTTTAAGTAAAATTTTGTGTATTTTTTTTTCAAAAATATTCTTTGTACTGCTCCAGTCTGGCTCAGTGCCTTGGCTCCGCCCTTGGAGAGTAGACTAGAAAAATATAATATGAAGAGCGGGAGAAGGGATGGCATATGTGAGACATATAAAATGAAGAGCGAAGGTAGAAACGAGTGAACGGGAGGAAATTAGAGTTTATAAACTAATTATTGGAAAAATTGACAAGAATAATTCCACATTTCACCGGTCTTCTCATAATAATCCAACCTTTAAATAATCCCAAAATAATATCACCTTTGCACCCCATCGTCTTTCATTGGACCCTGACCATGTTTTTTACTCTTTTTTTGAAAATCATATAATAATCCCACCTTTCACTTTTTTATTATATCTTTATAAATGTGAGATTATTTATATAAGATTTTCAAAAAAGGTAAAAAAAAACTTGGTCAGGGTCCAATGAAAGAAGATGAAGTGCAAAGGTGGGATTATTTTGGGATTATTTAAAGGTGGGATTATTATGAGAAGACACGTGAAAAGTGGGATTATTCTTGTCAATTTTTCCTTAATTATTTGATGATTTGGAGTGCAACGATATATTACAAATTGATATTTTGGCCAGGTGAGCTATTTTAATGTTTTAAAAGAGCAAATGTACTTAACCGACATTAAAATGCAACTTCAATACTTCATGTACTTTTTAGTTTCAAGTGTAAGATGAAATACTACTTACTCCACTTGAAACAACTGTGTGTATCATTTTGACCATTTTGGTAACATATTCTTGCTAAAGATAAAATTATACGAAGGATATCAACTTTAAAGTTTAAAGTTAGGGAATTGTGGGTTCATAATTATGCTGGACTAAAAAGTTAAGGAGAGAATTTTTTTTTTGAAAGGAAAACTGATTATATTATATCAATCAAACTTCTCAACGTACTTCCCCTCTTACAATGCCAAACCTCCTTAACCAAAACAACCAAAACTCTAAGAGTACTTTCCCCCTTACAACGCCAAACCTCCTCATGAGGCTCCGCATAGCCCAAAGGCCCCCCCACTCTCTGGCTAGACTTAGAATAGACCACCCCAGAAGGAGCGAGACTATTCGCGAACCATGTGAGAGTTTTGAACCTTTTAACAGCCAAACAGGCCTTATCGCTTCCACCAAGAATAACATCCCAAACCAAGCAAGAAAAAACAAACATCAACCTACCGCTAGAGTTCAACAAAATGAGAAAAGCAGCGTGAGCACAGTAAAAGGATAAACAGCAAAAACAAATAAAGTCTTCATGGCTCTCGGCCTTATTTAACTCCCTAAGTTGTGGATCGGGCATCGTATTCTAGAGTCTAGTCACACATTTGCTCAGTGGCGGCGGTTCGGGAGGGGGTCGACTCATCCACTTCCCAAATTCTTCCTCCACCGCTGGAATCGGCCAAATCAACCGCATTGATCCCCCAATAGCCGATGGGATTCGTACAGACTGCATTCCGCCCGGATCAAACACAGCTGGTACAGCTCCAAACTCAAAGACTACCAAAGTCAAAATATATAATCCAAGCATCGAAGATTCGGGTCTTGCACCACTAGCCGTCAGAAAACCACGCCCACCTTTGAAACCCTTGATAGTCATTCTCACCCAATTGGATAACATGAACAGATCTGTGGGTACCTTCCGTCGCAAGCCTAAAAATCAGCCCAGCGTTTTCTTGAATGCACACCACACTCGCCGCAAAACCGGAACTGCACCACCGAGTGTTGTCCTTGGCCGTCTCCCCCTCCCTGGTCGTGCCAGCAGTTGTTTAGCCAAAAAGGAACACGTCCTTCTAAAGCTCCAGCCGCGACAAGGAACTACGCGTCTAACTCCAACCCACGATGAGAGCCCCAAGAATTGAAGCCCTCGCTAACAATAAAAGCCGAGACCAACCCCCCTGTGAAGCCGCACTACACCACCGTAAAAAAACCGAAGCCGGGACACAAAACGCCGTCGTGGAAGGCGCCGCGATCCCCCAAAACTAACCCTAGACTATCGCTAGGCCCTGCCGCTTTTTTGTAGATGCCAACGTGATTAATAACCAATCCTTTCACAATAATAGTTAAGGAGAGAATTAAAAAGCATGTTAGTACGTTGTGAACAGCGCGTGGTTTTTTTGTTGGCTCCTGCGCGTCCTGCGCCCCAACCAAATTATACTTGAGCAATGACCATCAACTGGAAATCCTTGTGATCTCTCTACCTTGATATCTCGAACTCGATGCCTTTCCACATTTCCAGGAATCTTAAATGTGAATGGTGATCCAAAATACTGGCAGGACATTGCTGAGCATATCCTATTTGACATTGGTTTGTGTCATTATGGAATATATGGCTAATGGTTCATGACTTCATGGGTTAATCTTGGGTTCAGTTAGTGGTGGCCTCGGTTCGGGCCGCCTGGCCGGGAACCGGCCCGGCTCGCTACTGTGTGGGGACCAGCCCGGCCCGGTTTTTCGGTTTCGGGTCCGGTTCAGGCCTAGGCCCGGGGCTTGGGCGGTTCCGGGCTCAGTTACTCGGTTAGTGTTTTTGGCGGCCCGGCCCGGCCGGTTTGAGCCCGGGTCCGGGCCAAAACTGTTTTTTGTTTAATTTTTTTTTCATTTTTGGGGCTTTATTGAGTTGGGCTTGATGTTTAGGACTGGTTTGGGGGGTTTGGGGGGGTGGGGGGGTGAGGGGGGGAGAAAAGAAAAGAAAAAAAAACAAACTAACCGGGTGGCCCGGACCGGTGGCCACCGGTTCAGGCTCGGCCCAACAAAATTGACCCGAGGCCCAGCCGGGCCCAGGCCCGAACCAGGCCGGAACTGTAGAAAGAGTACCCCACCCCCCAAATCTTGTAGATGACGCGTTAATTCTAGTGAAATAGCATTTTTAAAATGTTACCTTACCTATGTCACTGTGTGACCGACTGACTAACTCCTATATGTTTCACATATCAATCTTTTATCCGGCCATTCCTAGTTCCTACTGTCAAATAATGTAAAAAGTTGTGCAAATGTCTCCCTATAGTTATGCAACTTATTGCAACATGTAAGAACTAAAACTAGCTGCATAATATGTCACACAATATATTACGGCAATTGGCAACATGTCACACAATTGAGGAACAACATTAAGGAAAAATGAAAACCAGATAACATATTTCAGAATATGTTAAAAATGAGAGATCAAAAGTGCAATTTTCCATGCCACTGCACAAGCTCATAATTTTACTCCGCGAATCAAAGATGTTGTGATTTGACCTTATTAAACAGGTTCAAATCTGCGGAACTAATCAAGGCAGTGAGATACAAAGTGCATCAGATTGATGCCTAAAAAGTTTTACCACAAGTTACCTAGGAGAAACCCAAAACTATATGTTTGCTTCTACACCAGAAAAAGGTATGGGAAGCCTTATCCCACAGATTCCATACAAAACTCATCACCTTGGGGGACCTCTCCTGTCATAGGGTCCCCAACCTCCTGTAAGATTATGGATCGCCTCCATAAAAACTATCTGAATAACCCACGTCAACACTCCCATTCAACATTCCATATGGTCCAACACCTGAAAGTGGTACCAAAAGTGGCAATTATACATCATATACATAATCAACATTTGAATGCACCAAGTTCAGATATTATTGAAATTTCAAAAATGCACAAGTTCAAATCTTATTGGAATTTAATATGATAATAATAGTTTCACCAATTCCACGTGCTCTCCTATTTGCAGCCATCTGCTCTGCCCGGAGCCTTTCAATTTCACGAGCCCACGGAGACAAGATTTTTCTTCATTGCTTTGTTTTTGTTCAATTATCCCCTTGTTTTCTTTCTTCTCATGTTCAAATTCTCTCCTATTTGTTATCAAATTTGAGTATGAGAAGATTTGCTCAAAATAAACTTAATAGAAACTGAATTCTGCACAAAAAACGAGATTTATCTCCAGACTTAAACCTTGTTTCATCAAGCTCTCTGTGCATCCCATCAATTTCAGACTTCATGGCAGAGAGTTCCTTATTCTCATTTGCAGTTTATCAAGATCCTTTGTTAAACATTGGACTTGGGTAGTTAATTCCTATTGCAAAGCAGTAAGTTTTTGGAGTTCAGATCTGTAAGACTCACTCAACTTCCTCTCGCAGAGGTTCGGCAGAGTGAAGCTCTCTCTCTAGTCTCAATCCTCTTTCAATATACTCCCTTGCCTCTGCCTCATTGTCAGCATGCAGTTTAGAAATGGATTGGGTTATTCTTAGAATCTTATCTTTTGTGGCAGTCAACTCCCTTTCAAGCATCACATTCTCATCGAGTACATGCCGATTCTCAGAAACAATTCTTTGCATATCTCTGTGCTGGATTTCAATTTCCTCTTCAAGGACAGCAGGATGAGGATGAGGGAGTTGGCGGGGTCCTCGTTCCATAACAGCCTGTGGTGGGGGTGGGCCATCACGGTATCCTCTATAGTTATCATGTTGGCGAGACGGCAAACGGTTTCTACCAGACATTGCTGCAACTCTGGAAAACGTGACAAATGAATCTGAAAGAACACATTTTTCTATCAGGTGACCATACTTCGTGCTAAAACCAAACTAAGCATAGCTTTTTTTAAAGAGAAGGTTCAAATAGAATGGACTAATTGGAGTAGGGTAATTCTAAATACAGCCCGTTTTTTTCTAAACAAAGTCCAAATTAATTAATTTTACATATTTACCCTTAAGGCTTTTTAAACCATCGGATGTCCGAAAACTCCATATCCCACACGCCGTCATCTCTGTATATGAAATACGGAGTAGTTAAGACTGCCTGCCAGGTTCTCACACCTTTCAACTAGAAATCTCCTGATACAGACACAATTTTAATTTTAATTCTTAGAAATCGGATCATTATAATAGAAAAAAAAAATCAGGAACCACGAAGTTCAAACACATACCAAGATGCACAAAATGAATACAAAAAACACAATTACATATAAACTCAAAACCATAAAAAATATAAGCAAAGAATACAGAATTCATCAAATTCAGATTGATTTGATTCAGCAGAACAAATACACAGGCCGTCTGAATTATGAAAAACATGTACTCCAAACTATCAATTAGTCATCTTCAGTGAAGCTATCTTCCCGGCGGAGTGCCGTCGGTGCCGTCAAAGGAACCCGAACTTGGAGCCCCTCCTACCATGGCCAGGTGAAATTTCATGGCGTCATGCCGGCATCTTCGTCGGGGTTAGATTTTAAGAGAGTCCAGGAAGCTGTGGAGGAGGAAGAGGATGCGACGGAGGAAGAAGCCGGTTTTGGGGTGTCTGGCAGCGGGGATGGAGGATGTGGAGGAAGAGATCTTGAAGAGGATGCGGTGGAGGAAGAAGCTGGTTTTGATGTCAAGTAAAACATCGCCTAGAAACGGTTCATAAATTTAGAAGAAGAAGATTGAAAATCATTGAAGTAAGGTTTGGAATAGTAAGGGAAAGGAGTTGTACATATCTTAATTAGAAACCGGGTGGGAGCAGTGCAAGGATAAGAACTACTCCGTATTACTCTTTAGAATTTAGAAAGACAACCACCAAGGCTATAATAGGAAGTGTATTAAAAATGAGGG